GAGCCAGTCGCCTGCCCGGTCCTTCATTCCCTGAGTCATCAAACAGGTCTGGACGGGCAGACACCCACGCGGTCCCTGGCCGGGCGCCCTCGGCATGACCATCCCGCCAGCCCCGAGCCGGCACTAATTAGCAGGTGCCCACTGCCTGGGCAGCCTCTTCTGATGCTCCCCCCAGACCCCCTGAGAGGCGTGCGATGATCGTCCCTGTTACAGGCAGGGAAAGTGAGGCCTAGAGAGGCGAAGTGACTTGTGTGACTCTGGTGGGGCCCTCAGTCCACCCTCTTTGCCCCCTACTCACACTGGCCAGTAGTGTCAGAGCGGAGGCTGACTCTGAGGTCGACCAGACACACCCTGGTCTCCCACCCCCCACTGGAGCTCATGGAGGGAGACTGAGTCCCAGGGGAGATAACAATAGATGTTTCTTTAAAAAGATGATGGGTTAGCTGTGCCCTTTCTGGATGCCAAGACCTGGACTAATGTCTTTTTTTTTTTTTTCTGGTGTATTCTCACAGAATCCCTCACAAGAGCCATTAGAGGGAAGAATTTATTTCTCCCCTTTTGCAAATGGGGAAACTGAGGCTCAGCCCGGCCAGGGGCTCCCCAGCCAGGAATGGTGAGGCAGACCTTTGCTCTCCTGGCTCAGGCTCCCCCGGGTTTTCTTACTGAATCTCTGGAGACCACCTGTTCTTTCTGTGAACACTGAGCTAACCTAGCTCTGAGGAACATAACCAAAACTCAGTTCTCGGGGAACTCCCGCTCAGTTAGGGGGACACCCCTGGACATTGTCCCAGCTGAGCCAGAGGAAGTAGGGAGTCTCTGCCTGAGACAGTCATGGAGGCCTTCCTGGAGGAGGGGGCCTTTGGGCTTGGGTCTTGAAGAATAAGTAGGAGTTCAGGAACTGGAGAAGCATGTGGCAGGCATCCGTTTACGCTCACTTGTCTAACAGCTGTTTCTCAGGGCCTGCAGGGGCCAGGCCCGATGCTGGGATATATTGGGGACACAGACCTGAATCAGAGCATCTGTTCTGATGGAGGGGACAGACAGATACAGTGGTGTTGGGCCTGTAGCAAAGGCAGTCCCGGCATTGCAGGAACAGAGGCCACGACTGGAGGGGCAGGGGGAGCTCCCCACGTGAGCCACTTTTCCAAGCAGCATTCCCACGGAGCAGGCCTCACGTAGCTAGCTTGGGTCCCTTGGTTAGACACATCCTAAAATGTCCCGGAGCCCAGACACGAGCCACGATGCTGGAGCCCAGGAGGTGGGTCAGACCCTGGCTCTGTCCTGGGCCCTGTCAGGCAGTGCAAGCAGATCCAGGCACAACCAGAGTGACCTGACCCAAGACGGACAGAGCACTGGGCCTGGGGGCTAAACCCTTCTTGCTGAAGCCCAGAGTGGGGAAGGTGCTTGCCAAGGTCACACAGCCTGAGGGGACCCTGACCCCGGAGTCTGGGAATTGTGTGAGATGACATTTTGGTGGGACAAACTGGCAAGAAGAGGGGGGAAGGCAGAGCCAGGTCAAACATGCGTAGGGGAGATGGGACCCCAGGGTCCCTGCTGCCACTCGGGTGGACACCACCCTGGGGCAGCCGTGGACGGCTCTGAGGGCTGGGAAGGGGTGTGACTGCTGGCCATTTTTCTGTCTGCTGCAACATTTGGGTAGGGTCCTGCCTCTGTGGGGCCCCCCTCACCCCAGGGCGCTGGTTTGTGGGCTTGGCTCCTGTGGGGGAGCATCTGGGTGGAGTCAGTCTCTGACGCCTAGCAAGCACCTTGGACAGCTCCCTCCGCGGGCAAGCTGGGGTCCCCTCCCCTAACCTGGGACAGTGCCTGTCGCAGGGGTGGAGATTGACTTGCCCCCCTAAGTGGGGTTATCTCGCAAATGTGTGGAGACTTGGAGCACAGGAACGCTGCCGGCTGCCGTACCTCATGCAAGGGACAGGACCCCTCCAAAATAAGGAGAGCCAGCCATCCCCAGTGTCGGGGTGAGGAGGTGGCCAAGCCGCAGCCCAGAATGTGTGCGACCGCGACCGGCAGCGTGACAGACGGTGCGCGCGGGCACGTCTGTGCGTGATGGATCGTGGGAGTCAGCGGGGCGCGTGTGCGGATTCCTGGCCGCCGCAGCCCCTTTGTATGGGGCGGCTGTGAGGTGTTGCGGCTTCGCTGCGCGGCGGCAGCTTCGCGCCCCAAGTGGCGAGCGTGTGGGGGCTGGGGGCGAGCGCCGCTCTGGCTGCTGGTGTCTGTGTGACCGATGAAGCCAGGGCCAGTGTGCCTACGCGCGCGCCCCTGGCCGGGGCAGTCGGGGTGTCGGCTTCGAGCTGTGGGGGTCCTTAAGGCCCCCTCCGAGATGGTGGGGCGTCCAGGGGCTGCCTGGCTGCCCTTTCGCGCCGACAAGGGGAGGGCCCATTGGGGACAGTCGCCTTTACTAACCGGCTGGCTGCCGTGCGCCCGGGAGGGACTGGCCAGGCTTAGCCCGGGGGGAGGGGCCGGGCGGCGAGCTGAGCGCGAGGCTTCCTCCAGCGCCATCCTGCGGGGCTGCTGATGGAACGGCCCCGGGAGAG